ATTTAAGCTCTAAAACCTGATTTAGTTTAAATAAAAAAAATTACCTGGCAAAACAGGATTAATAATATGACAAACATGGTGCAGGCTTTATACACACTTTAAGCTTTCTTACCTTCTCCTGCACATATTACAGATCTAAATTAACCAGTACAGCTGTCACATCTGTACCCCCCCCCCCCCCTATGGACCAGAGGAATGTTTACATTTTTGTCAATAACTTTGTCAATAAAATAAAGTAGTGTGGGTGTATGTGTGTTTAGGACAAGCAACATTTTCATTTGGTAATACTGTCCTTTAAAATTATTTTATTTTTCATACAATCCACAGAATTTTTTTTTTTTAAACATTTGTTTTCTATGTTGACCAGTGCACTAGCTAAAGCTAGTTAAAAAAAAATATTGAGGGTTTTTCACAAAAGAGACAAAGGATCCAGGCGTAGCTGGAAAAGCAAGGGCATGTGGCCTGGTATGGCAGGGAGGAGGGAGCCGCTCGCTCGTTCTCCCCCGCTTTCCTGCCCTGCCAGGCCTGGGGGTCCCTCCCAACTTTCCTACCAGACCTGTTTTGTTGTTTTTTTCATTAAAATTTGTATACTTATTTTCTTAACTTTTTTTTTTAAATTGCATTTATTTTAATTATTTTTAAACATTTTTTTCATTTGTTTTAATTTTTTTCTATTCTGCTCGTAACCTCGGAGATATCGAGCAGAATAGCCGAGCCGAATGCCGCTCGGCGGTATTCGGCTATTCACTTATTGTCGGTAGGCCCCTATGAGAATGAAGGCAACCGAAGGCAGCCGATGTACGGCTGATTTTAGTCGATATATGACTGCAATAAGCCCTACAGGGCTGAAGTGAATAGCCAAACGTCATTCAGCTCTGTTCACTTCAGCTGGGTTATTCACTCGGCTGCCTTTGGCAGCTTTGTGAATAACCCCCATAGCTACTTTACCTGAAAAGTATACATTTTATTTACTAATTTGTCCTGTTTAAAGGAGAACTATGAGGCGAGTGCTTTTCACTCACCTCATAGTTCTAGCCGACCTGTGACAATGAGACTGTCACAGGTCGGCTTAGTAGATCGGGAAGTGAGCGAACACATACCGGCGTTCGCTCACTTCTCCATCCTGTCACGGCTCTCTGCCGTGACAGGGGAGGGGCTGGATTCCCCCCTCCCCGATCCGCCAACGCTGACCGGCGGAACGGACAGGGGAGGGGGCAAGTACAGCTGGTTCTGCCTCTAGATAGGCAGAGCCAGCTGTCAGTCACGCAGCTGGGCGGATGCAGACATAATTGTCGGGATCCGCTTCAGATGCGGCGTCTCAGTATACCGCGAGCAGCAGCGGTATACTGAGCCTAGGGTGACGGGAGGACACTAGTTTGTGTCCTCCCATTACCCTAAGGAGAACTATGGGGAAAAGCCTTAACCCCATAGTTCTCCTTTAAACTGACACTAAAATAATGATTCTGGCAAAAATAAGACTTATTTTTAATATTGCACTTTTTTTTAATTCAACCCAAAAAAAATTACCCTTCAAAATGAATTAAGAATAATAACATTTAAATAATAATGGTTATAAAAATAGAAATACACAAAAAAACAGGACAATAATATAGGTATAAAGAAAAAAGAGTTAATTAAGGCTAATGGGGATTTACTAAAGGTTAATTAGGGGTTAAAGAGGAACAAATGTTATTATTATAAAACTTTTTTTTACCTGTCAGGTTGCTTTAATTGGCATATTAAAAATCATCCCTTTGATCTGCAGGTGAATGAAACAGAGCAGCAAAACTGTTTGGTGATGCACAGATCCCTGCTTTCTGGAGACCAACCCCTAATAAATTTGTTACAAAAAAGGAGAAGGATAGAGAAAGATGGGTTTTTTTTGGTGGCTCCAGAAAGAACAAGTCCAAAAGATATATATCAGTCTCATAGAAGTATAAAAAATATGAATTTATTGAACAATATATAATAAAAGCATTCAATATGCACCCCCTATACACCACAATTGAGATATTTTGCCTAAATGATCATAATCCCATACATGTTAGGAAATAGCATCATAATAACATATTAACAAGGCAACTCAAAATGAGACAAATAATGGTGGATGGTATCTCAAGTGGAAGAAACAAAGCTTGTCTGGGTGATATGTTGCTAGCAATGCTGGAAAAAAAGGCACTGCCTATACGCTCAACGCATTTCGCGCCAATGGGGCGCTTCTTTCTTTTGGACTTGTTCTTTCTGGAGCCACCAAAAAAAACCCCCCATCTTTCTCTATCCTTCTCCTTTTTTGTAACAAATGAAACAGAGCAGATACAAAGTAACAAGGTCACTGTGTATCTCTCTAACTTGCATCTGAACCTAGTTTATAAACACTCTCAGACATTGTTTTAGACACAACTTTTTGAACAGAAGTAGCTTCTACAACTGCTGGACTTATGCAGAAACTGCAGCAGAATGGCAAGTGGGAATTGCCGTCAAGTGCAGGGGGGAAGTGGTAGTGCGGCAGAAGGGCAGGGTGTACTACACTCAACTTGTGCACTTAGATGTTTTTTTGGCATGTGCAGCACACCTAGTGGCCACAGCTAGCGAAAGTTTTTTTTAGATAGAGTGGTGAGGGGTTAGAACTCCTATCTGGTTTGTTTTTGTCTGTGTTAGGGACATCCACCCTCTCAGTTTGTCCTGATGATCATTGTCACTGGGACCAAAAGTGATGGAAAATCAAAAATGTTTAGTTGTCACCAGAACAGCAAAGAAGGGAAATCTACCAATGGGGACATTTGTTTAAGAGTGCATTCTTACTTACTACTTCCTGTTATGTCTATAGGACAGGAAGTGGGGAATTACTTGAACATGGATGGAAAAAGAATTGACAGGGGTTTTAACTATTCCCGACTCTGTCCAAAATGGTAAAAATATACCTCATCTAATTAAGCGTCTCTGATGCTACATTTTCTGAAAACAAGCTGTCTAGAAAATTCTGAAATAGACACTATAATTTTATACGTAATAAATAGCATATGTTCAGTACAACCACATCATCATCTTCTAAAAACATATTTTATCAAGAATCACGTTTAATTTTGGTAGTCTGAAAGCAGATCATCATTGCTCTTTCCACTGTGTTATTAAATGAGGTAGGATATATGTATTAATATATATTTATAAATGTTACTGCTCCCGGTGGAAAAGGAGCATTTATAATTGTGTTTTGCTGTGCTTGACAATACTTTAATGCTTTACTAGTAGCATTATCTAAAAATAGAACTCTGATAATGTGTTGTAGATTAGGAAAAGCCACACAATGAACATGATTAATGCACATTTAAAAGCTGCCATGTTTTAAAGTTGCATATTGTGCAGAAAACTCAGAAAAAGATAGATCAGAACCATGGAAGCTAGTGGCTCTCGCTGTGGGAAATGTCACAGTGACAATATGTTCACGTCTGCTGTAAATAAGGGACATAGATGGTATTTTCTGAAAATTAGAAGAGTAAATGAGCAATAAGATAAATACACTACCAAGGAATAGAAATATTTATGCTTTTATTATCTTTTTATTATGGTAAAATATTTTAATTCTAGAAGGTTAATAACGTAACACTTTGGCAAAAACGTATACTGAAAAATTATTAACAAATCTCACTATATATATCAATTTTTAAATTAAACATTTTCATTCATTTAAACTTTCAGTTCCATTTAAAATCACAGAAAGATTTGTATTACATACACTACTTTTCCAGAAATAAACATTGAACTGTGTCTAGCATCAATAAAGTGGGCTATTATCCATGTGCATATGGAGCTACCTTTCTTAAAATGACATTGAAGTCAATTTTTCTTCTCCCCCCATGCTGGAGTAAGGACTTACCTTAAATGATGCCTCTTGATCTGATCATCTTCTTTCCAGTAGTTTTCAGAAGTCCCTCCAGTGCTGGTGGCGGTTTCTGATCCAGCGCTGACTGCTGTGTCTTCCTGTGCCACAGTGTCTGTTCACATGCATGCTGGCAGTCGGCCTGCATTGACTTACCCTGTGTCTCTCCTCTTCTCCCGGCCGAAGATCTCTACTGCACATGCGCCCACCTCATGATCTTTTGCGGCCGCCCAAGAATCTTCAGATCTTCGGACGGGAGCGTGTGGTGGAGACACAGGTAATTTTAAACCTGTTTGGTATTTTTTTTTATGTTCTTACATATATCTACTGCAAAAGTGCAAAAAAAGTGAGAGAGTTTACTTGTCCTTTAAGACAGATGTACTTAAGCGTATCTTTCCCTGTTAAACCAATTTCCTAAATTGTATTGTAATGAAAGTAGGGAGCATTAATATATATATATATATATGTGTGTGTGTGTGTGTGTGTGTGTTTTTGTTTTTTTTAAGAACTTTTATTCTAAGATCCACAGAATTTGTCAATTGAGTTCACAATGTACCTATTTTTAAGTTCTAGTTCTTAGGTGCAGAAATCCATAGCAACCAATCAGAATGTACTTTGTTAACCAGTATAATATGGATTCTGACTGGTTGCTATGAATTTCTGCACCTAAAACTTTGACCTTAGAAATACGTGCGTTGTGCACTCAATTGACAAATGCTGTAGGTCCGGTTTCTGGTCTGTTGCAGTGCGTAAGCAACCTACATAGAGTGAATGTAGGGCACACATGTTAACAAGTAAAATACTGTGCATTAACACTCGTGGTAACAGCTCGTGGTGACTGCTTTTGAAGCTGACTCTTAGACCACGGAATAGACTGTTTTTATTTTAATTTTACAGCTAAATTCTGCAAGGTGCTAGTCATACATTATGGTTCATGATAGGTAAGCCATCTTATTCTAATTGAATATTGTACTCCGTGATGAAAGTAATAAGAAAAAGACTTTTCCAGGACAAAACTAAATAATGAGATTCAAATAAAAATTTCTCTAACCTAGCACAGATAAAATGTGCATACGGTACATATAATTGTGTTTTAACATATAATTGTGTTTTATATTTCCAGGGACCCAGTATAGACCAGCAGGTAACAGAATCCAGTCTTGGTGACAGAAATACTACAGCCGGCTTCAGCACACAAGGTTTGTGCCATCATATTGGTATATCCCATTTGGATCAATTAGATTTTTAATTCTGCATACATTTATGTAATATTGCACGTATATGGATATTTATGATACATTTGCTTAAACGAAATGATTGTTAAAAGTTTTTGGAGTACTCCGTTTAAAGTGATTCACATTTTCAGAATTTTGATCTACTACTAGAATCTTCCTGTTAAATTCTGTTCTACAGCAAATGAAACAAAACATTTCAAAATATTCCAATATGTTTTATATCCATAGGTTTCATATCTCAAACATCTATCACTTCTTACACATAAGATGGAAAGTTTTGTATATATAACAGCCCAGATTAGTTTCCTTTTCGAAAAAGGAAACGGATTGTCTAAAATTGGTTGAATAGCTGTGAAATAGCTTTGTATTCCCCTTTATAATGTTATACTGCCTTGGGACACTTCCACACTTTGATGCATGTTTTTTGTTCCTATACAAAATAAGAAAATTACATTCATAATTGGAATTTTCCATAATGCAGATATATAAAAAATGTGCAAACCGTGAAAATACACAAATACAAAATATTCTATATTTTAAAAATACAACAAGCTGCAGTGCACAAATGTGAACCAGTGGGATTTCTACTGGAAATGCATTTTTGTGCAGTAATGTGTATGTTTTTTTACTGCAGGAATATAGACTAAACAGACCCTTAAAGTTACCATGCTGCATGGTTGCTAGAATACAATAATTCAAATATGTAGACTTCTGTGACCACTAGTATTGTCAACAATGGTCCAATTCACTGTGGGTTCTCCCTGATGTCATCAGCTGCCTGGTGATAGGAGATAGTGAGTAACCAGATGGGCTACAACTTGCATTGAGGTTGGTCAGATCTTTTCTGTATTAATTTCTGTACAGGTCAACTTTTCAATGTTACCAAATAAAAGCAGTATAACCTATCCATTTTCTAGATTTGGTTATACAGTTTTCTCAACCATTACATTGTGTTTCATAAATACAATGTTTTAAATCACCTGTAAAGAGTACTATATGCTGTCTAATGTTTCCTTTATCTGTTTTTGTTTTTCAGTGTCTGTGGATAGCACTTCCATTCTTGTATCTGAAGTAGCCGATATTCCAGCCCATAGCTGTTCCTCAGAAGACCTCTGTTCTCTGGAAGTTCAGAGCTCTTTACGTTCTGCAGACTTTTCTCCATACAGTACCATACGTACAGCAGCTACAGGAAGTAGCTGTGCTAGCTTGGAACATAGTCTCCGCTGCGGCCTTCACCTCACCAATTCACCGTGTTCACCTGATGATGATGGAAGCAGAGCCTCCACAGATAGGTCTCAGAGGCCGGATTGTGACAGTTATACACAGTCTAGATCCTTGGACTCTTCCACTGAAAATTTCAGCACACAAGAAAGAGAATCTCAGCTTTCTGCAAAAGAAAGAAAAGTGTCACACATACCTATCAAAATGTGCTGCGGTGTATTTAGCCAACCACCTGGGCAATCCCTGCCATCACCTGGCACCCTACCTGTAAATCCAGCACCTCACTCAGGACGCCTGGAAAAGGCTATCCAGCAACATCATGCTAGGAAATACCGGATTGCCAGTATAGTCCGGTCCACCAGTGACCCCATTTCCTGCACATCCAGCACAGAAGGTAATTTTATTCATGTAATAGCTGAGAATTAAGCAGCTCCCCAAACATTTAGTATTAAATTAGGAAACAGGCTATGCAAGTTTCCTTTTAAAGCAGACCTTGCAGTAAAATGCAAGGTCCACTAATAATGTCCAGCCCCCTACCCCCTGTAAAATCACCTGCTTTTAGTATGTTAAAAAGGTACCTGTAAAGAAAAAAGATGGATTCTATACTTACTACTTACCTGGCCCCAGTCTTCCAACGCGGGTGCCTAGAAAAGCAAGTGACATAACACTCCTTTCAGTGAGATCCCAGGAAATACAAAGCAGTCCAAATCCAGTGAGAATATGCTGTTGAAATAGACTAGAATGTCTCATGAGATCTGGCCTGCTCTGCATTTCCCAGAAATGCTTATGGAAGTATGGTGACATCAAACCCTTCGAGAGAGATGACAGGGATAAGGTAAGTATACATCTAACCTTTTTCTTTACAGGTACCTTTTGCACATACTACGAGCTAGTGATTTTTACAGGGAGATGGGGCCCAGACATTGTAAGCAGACCTTGCATTGTACTGCAAGGTCCGCTTTAAACAGAGTATATTGTTTGACATTATATCTAGAAATTTTAGATGTCAAGAACACAGCATCATAAACATGCTCTACATTTCACAGCTCTGTTAACAAAAAATCAGATTTAAAGCTGAACTCCTGGTATATATGAAAGATACAAATTAATTTAGTTCTGTAGTTATTAACACATAATAATGACTTGGTATCAGCCTTTTGCAGTCCCTACACAGTAGAGCTCAGACCAGGACAGGAAGAAGCAGCACAAGGAGGCAGTCAGTTGTACTACAATGCTCATGTGCTAACAAGAATCATTCTGTCAGGGAAAGAGAGGCGAGAGGAGGAGGAGGAGTACAGAGCTATGAGCTGTGTACTGTTTCTCTTTTTACTTTTTAGTCATAAATAAGGGGGAAGGAAAAGACCTGTCAATTACATTTTTCTTCAACAGAGAAAAAGTTGATCTCAGACAGGGCTTTGCTGTGTAAATGTCAGGACTGGATGGCAGAAATACAAATATATTGGTGGGTAAAACCGCTTCCTTGTATTTCATCTGTGTACTTAGCTGTTTGCCTGGAGTTCAGCTTTAATCAATATATGTTTGGTTAAATATTTAAATGATCATTTTCTCTACATTGAAATGTAATGTGTTGAATAAGCCCAGAAAAAAAAATAGTACCAGCCCAATTCATCAATCCACTGAGGCATTATGCCATGTACTCCGAAAAAGCTGACAAATGCTGTGTTTCCTGATAACTTGCTTCAGTCTTCAATTCTAACTGGAACTAGCAATTCATTTTGACATTTAGGTGTAACACGTTTTTATATAACAGAAGCCATCGGGAAAAGACCAGGCTTTGAAAGAGAATCATTGCATTTAAAGGACATGCATGACTGTGATGATAAAAATACACAAATAATGGTCAAACTGACTGGATAGATGCATTGCCAATTCAATTATAATTATATCTGCCAGTCCAATTTCATCTGTAAAATAAAGATGTATATTATTTAAAAGTAAAGGTATCAACATTCTTTACTTCCCTCACAAATTGCAGAGATAGGAGGTTGATCACACATTATAGGATAGTGGGTGAAGCCATTCAAATAATTCCTTGTTGCTCCTGGGCCAACAGTACTTCCAGAACTGCTGGTTTAGGGTACTGATACATACCAATATGCCTGAAACAGCTGTTTGAAGTTTGCAAAAAATAGCTTCACAATATTAAGCTGTATCTGTGCTATACAGTTAGCCATAGAGAGTAAAGGAATTATCTGCATGGTTCCACCCTCTTTCTAAAATGATGACTAAACACCTAATTTTTAGATGTGAGATGAAAGTAAGATGTGAAAACCTTCTATTTTAGGAAAGCTTCAACGGTGCTACACACTGGTACAGTGGAGAGCTTTTTGGTCCCTTTTAGCCCACCTTATCGTAGCTTGTCTTTCTCATTGTTGCAGTGAAATATTTATAACATTAAATCTATAGACAATAAAAGGTCCTCAGCAGACTTGCCATAAAATGCTTGGGGTTCTGAAGGGGAAGTCCACTCCAATGTAATATTTCAGTTAAAGATTGTCTCCGCTGATGGCGTGTTCTAACCATAGTTCCAGGCTCTGTTCAGTCATACTTTGCAAATTTTCACTCCTGTTCTCCATGACAGAAAATTATTTAAAAACCAAGCATGGAGAATGAGTTCCATTCCTAATGGTTATGGTAGATGTGCAAATAAGGGATCAGGCTTGGTGTAAAAAAACCATTGTTAGGTATAACTTGCAATAAATGCTCATTTGTTTGTGAACCTTTTGATACAGCATTCTTAAAAAAAAAAGTATGGAAAGAGACAACATGGTTGAAATGTTTAAAATTGATTTAAATAATGAGCCAAAAAAACACTACAACGATAGGAAACTGCCCAAAACTGTAATAGACAATTATACATATGGAACAAACTATTATTAGGCAAAACAAGGAAACCCAGAGCAACAAACATTTAAGGAATAACTGTACCAATCATGTCTTTCCTCTACACCTTGAAGCTCTAGCCTGACTTTTTTCAAGAATTTAATGATTTTCACTTGGTTATCTCGCCGGTGGTAGATGTCCATTTACTAAAAGTGCAGTTATCCCTTAAACAAGTAGGAATAGCAAACTAAATGAACCTTTGGTTGCTTATAGCAAGCAATTAGAAATATTTTTTTACCCTGAGGTTGCTCTTGGTTACTGGTCCTTGTATGTCCACATTTTTATGTGCAGTTCCTTATTGGAAAAGCATTATGGTTTGAATTTCTAACTGTTATGCTGTTTTTTTTAAATAAATTCCCTTTATTGTGTTACCTTCACACCATGCTGTATACATTGCCACATTAAAACTATGCCTGGCATAAGCATTAGAAAAATTGAGCTGCGCAGGCAAATCATTTTTCTTCTGGAAATATTATCATGGCCCCCAACCATTTTGTTAAGCCTAGCACCATCAATTGATTCAGCTATTTATGTTAATACAAAACTTTGTCAGCCCTGGGAGTTTTGTAGTACAACTGGTAGATTAATTAGGGTAAAATTTGGAAACTTGAACAGAAGTGGAAATTAAAGGCACTTTTGCCCACCAGAAAATTACCAGACAAGTAATATGGTTTGTATCCCCAACTGAGAAAATGAGGCTGAACTTTAACACACTTACAGAATGATCCGACTAGTTTAATGATTTGTATTTCCAGCTGTGATATCACAGTTTGAGTCTATATGACTTTTAGAAAGTCTTGTTTCCTAATAGGCTCTTGTTGACTTGTGTTTAGTAAATTGCTGCCTAAGTAGTTCCAGTTTGCATCATTTCAAAGACCTTTGCTAAACTCTACAAAAATACTAGGTTTGTTCATGGAGCTTGCTGCCATTTACAAAATGAGGGAAAATAAGTTTGTTTTAATAATTTTCTTGCTGAAAGCTGGCAGGAGCAGCTGTTTAACCTCTTTCCCCAGTGGTGAATAAATACCACCAAAAGAAAGCTCTATCTGTTCCCAAAAAAAGGGTATAAAATTCATTTCAGTACAGCGCTGCATGACGGAATAAATGTCAGTCAAAGTACCGCAGCGCTGAATACTGAAAAATGGCCTGGATGGGAAGGGGGTTTAACACCGCGGATGTCAACTGGTTAAATGTATGATAATAGTATCAAGTCTGCATAAAATAGCTTGTGAAAGCAGGCCTAGGAGCATTGTTAGATAACCTATTGTTGATAGCAATTATGATTTATTATTAACATAAAGCATATTTTGCTGCTGATGTGTTTGTATTCAGTGGGCTTGATTCACAAAAATGAAATAGTAAAGCATACAGTAGGGTTCACAGTATCACCTCATAATTACCACATGATTCACCATTCACATGGAAATATTCTGCATATGTATGTAAAAATGAGCACTACTGCATAGCAACATACTATGCATTTTAAGTAAATACTGGCTTAAAGGTATTAGTAAGAACAATTGTCTTGTGAGCTGCTCATGGTGCTGATATACTACACAGCAGAAGTTTACCATAGCTAGGGGGTTAGTGCAATTTGTTATTTACACTTACCTGTGGGACTTTCCCAGATATTACTCTCCAAAAACTGCATACTGGTGTACCATTAGCTTAGTGTTTTCGGCCTGTCCACTTCCTACTTGTTGTCCCTGTTCTTTTCAGATTTACTTCCTAAAGCTATAAGTACTGGTACATATACTAAACTACAGCACAGTTTAACCCTTCTTTATCTCCTAGCTTCAATACCATTTTAGGTGTTATTGCTAATTTGGATTTCACTTAGTAATGTAAGCATAGATTCTGAAGGAGTCACCTCCCCAGATTTATCTATCTTTATATCCCGGCCATGGTTCAGGAGACATGGGGCAGGATTACATTTGTTAAACCAAATAATGGAAAATGTACTATACTTTTTTTATTTGCCTTAAACCTAAGTGTAATGTGCCTTCATTATTGCAATCAAAGGTGTCTCATCACACTCTAAACTGACCTATCTTTAGCTGTAGCTTAAATGGGTGCCGAAATGGGCCAAGGATGACACCATAAGAATGAGGTCACCAGCACACCATGGTCCACTTCATTGATCCATCTTTTATTGACATTTAGCTAAACATGGTGTCACAAGCAAATGCAATGTTTCGGAAACAGATGCGTCCTCTTCATCAGGCAAAACATTGTTGAGCTAATTATTGCCTTCATTATTGCAGTGTCACTCATATAGTAGTAATATAATGCTTTGTGCACGTACTCAGCCCTTCAGGCATATAGGTGATGTGGCTGCAAATAAATGGAAGCTCTTGGGTACTATCTGTAACGTTTAGGAAGTGTGTTCACGTCTATATTTGCACCCTCATGGGAAACACAGAGACCTCTTTGTAATCTTTATAAACCACACGTATTATTTTTTAGGCACCATTCACACCGAGGCGTTTG